CCCCCTCCCCCTCTCCCTCACTTCCTCTATCTCTCGTGCTCCAGACACATAGATCTAACATGACATGTCCACTTAGATGACTCAGGGTGGCCCAAATCAAATGTGCTTGGACAGAATCTCTCCATTTTCAGCCCACTCCTCATCTCAGTAAACATTACCAGCGTCCACTCAGTGGGTCAAATAAGAAACCCAGGGATCTCCATCCTTTTCCCTTCCTTCCTGATGATGCTTCTGCTCTGAGAGAGACTCACCCGCATCCTTTCCTTTTCCCTCTCAGATCTTGGTCATGCCGCAGTAAGTAGTTCATTTCTGAAATGGTTTCCCTGTTTCCCTTCGGTGGTGGCTCTGGGGAAGAGGGTGCCACTCTGGGAGAAATTGGTTTCCTGCTGTGCAGAGACACCGCCAGTGGTACTAATTGGATTAATTGATTTGCCCAAGGGGAGGTGTGTGTGATGTCTTTCTGCTGAACTTCCTTTAAAAACAGCACTTCCATTCAGAAAGCCAGATCAAGTGCCATTAACAAATTAATTCCGATTAGTGCTGCCCAAGCACTCAGACCTAAGACAACCCCGTTCAGTCATCTCGGCCTGCCTGCTAATAAAGTGGAAACTATCCAGGCAGCAGAGGTGATTATTTTGATGCCTGCCTCCATCCCTGGAGGGAAAAAGAGCAGGGTGTGCATTCACTACAGTCTCCTGAGGGCATTAACCACCTTCAAATTCTAAGTTATTAATTCCCCAACATGGCAGTCATATCCATGAAAATGGATTTGGGGCACATATGTCTGTGTCCTCTACAGCCTTCTTTTTAGGAGCAAGTATTCAGCAGGTGCTCAATATTTAGAAGAAAGAGTAATTAACTGGTGAGTGATAATTCTGACTGGGCCTAGTATCCTTAGCAAGCCTTCATCATTTTATTTAACATGTGCAATTGCACTACTGCTGTGGTTGGCCTGGTAGTTAGAGGTTAAAACAAACAGGTCCCTGTCCCCCCAGACCTTACAGGCAGTGACAGGGAGGCAGAGCGCTGACCAGCCAGGTGCAGAGCTTCCTGCAGGATAGCAAGTCATTAGGATAAGAAATTGGGTCAAGAGGACGGAGCAGGGGCTGGGATTAAGAGCACTTACTGTTCTTTTGAGGACCTGAGTTTGGCCTAGAACCCACCCATGTATGGGGGATGGGGTCATGACTGAATGTAACTCCAGCTCTAGGAACCTAGTGCACTCTTCCAGACTCTAAGGATGGGCGCCTGCATGCATATGTGTATTACCTGCCCCTAACACAAACACACTCAGGGATGGGGAAGAGAGATTAAAATAAAAAGTAAATCAAAATGACAGTATGCTGCTAGCAAGGAAGAAAGCTTAGGAGGGCATGAGTCCCTGGCTTCTAAGTTGAGCTTGGCATGGTTCACAAGGGTGGCTAAGTCTGGAGGAAGAACTTTCTAGGAAGGGGCCTGGAAAAGGCGCTTATCTTCTGGGAGACAGACCCCAGTACACCTGAGCAGCACCCCTGAGCAGCACCCCTGACCAGCACACCTGAGCAGCACCCCTGACCAGCACCCCTGACCAGCACAGGCATCTTTGCTAACCAATCACTCTTCTTATGATTTCTAGAACAGGGCAACTTGGGCCCTGGACCATTCATGTGGCACCTGCTGTCCCTATTGCTTCATAAGAATAAAGATGGCATTCCTGTGTACTTTGACTTCTTTATGCCTTGTCCTGTTCCTATCTCTGGCTTGCATGGGGACAGAGTTTGACCTATCTGTCTCTCACACCCTAGATCTAGCTCAGTCTTCTTAGTTACACACACGCAGAGTCTGAATTATTGCCCAGTCCTTTGCAATCCCTAGCAGTGGGTAAGGCTCCTGGAAGTCTGGCTTCTTGCTACATGTTGTCCACCATAGGCAAGAAAGGAAGCCGTTACTCCAATGATGGCTGACTTTGGTTTGAAAAGTAGTTTCTAGAGGATGACTGAAAACTTTTAAAACTGGGGCTGGCAGACACTAGGCGAACCCAGGGGAATCTTGAAGAAGGGGGAAGAAGGATTCTAGGAGTCAGAGGGATCAAAGACACCATAAGAACATGACCCACAGAATCAACTAAGCAGGGATCACAGGGGTTCATAGAGACTGAAGTGACAGCTATGGACCCTGCATGGGTCTGAGCTAAGTCCTCTGCATATATCTTATGGTTGCATAGCTTGGTGTTCTTGTGGACCCCTAACAGTGAGAGTCGGGGTGTCTCTGACTAGTTTGTCTGCACTTGGGACCCTTTTTCTCCTACTGGGTCACTTTGTCCATCCTTGATATGAGGGTTCATGCCTAGTCTTATTGAAATTTGTTATGTCATGTTTGGTTGATATTCCTGGGAAGCCTGCTCTCTCTCTCTCTCTCTCTCTCTCTCTCTCTCTCTCTCTCTCTCTCTCAATGGAGGATGACTATGGATCTAGAGGGGAGGGGAGGTTGAAGAAGGGGAAGCACTGGGAGGAGTGGAGGTAGGAGAAACTGCAGTGAAGAATAAAAATCAAACAAATAAAAACTGGGGCTGGAAAGGTAGGTAGTTGAATTGATAAAAATGCTTAACCTACAAGCTTAAGGACTTCATTGACTCTGAAGAACACATGTAAAGTTAAATTTAAAAACCACACTGAGCAAGGATGGGTATGATGGTACGCCCCTTTAATCTCAGCACTAGGAAGGCAAAGGCAGATGAATCTCTCTGAGTTGAAGGTCAGCCTGGTCTATAAAGTGAGTCCGGGACAGCCGGGGATACACAGAGAAACTCTGCCTGGAAAAACCAAAACCAACCACCAAACAAACAAAAAACAAACAAACAAAAAACCAAAACCAAAACAAAACAACAACAACCCCCACATTGATCATAGTATAACACTTGTTGTAATCTCAGCATGGGGAAAGGCAGAGACAGATGGCTCTCTGGGGCTCTCTGTCTAGCCAGGTTTGCTTACTTGCTGAGTTCCAGGACAGTGAAAGATCTTGTCTCAAAATGGGACAGGCAGTACCTGATGAATGACAGCCAAGGTTGTGCTCTGACCTCCATATGTACACATGTACACACGTGTGTACTCACATACACATGACCATGAACACACACACAGAGCGGGGAGAGGGAGGTAAGGAGGGGGAGACTGACTGGATTCTTAGTGAGGGTGCTTAGAAGCTTCATAAGAACAGTTGGAGTGAGTGACATGAGTCACGTTCAAGTTGAAAAGTCCTAGGACTGAAAAACCAGGGGAAGAAGGAGGCCAACTAAAGTCCCAGAAATGGTCCCCACTCCAAGGCCCCATCTGCCTGCTCTTTCAGTGACTTGGGGCTCCAAATGAACGTCACACATCCCACCCATAAAACACAGCTGCAGCTTTCCTCTCTCTCAAAAGCCCCTGCACTTGGTATTCTCAGATGATCCATAATTCTAGGGCACCTTTATCTTGCCCAGAAAGCTAGCATATCACCCCACAGAATAAACACAAAGGCACAATAGATTCCTTCTGTTTCAAAGTTCCCCACTGCTACACCCTGAGTTGGAAGGCAGAGCATCTCGCGCTATGGCTGATGGGAATGAGATTGCACTTAACCCTGGAGCAGGAAAAGCTAATGGACGTGAAGATGAGATGAAGATGGGCTGATACTGTCGCTAACCTTTTAAGAGGACCGTCCTGGCCTTGGCCCACTCGCTCCTCCCGTCTGACGTCAGCAGGCCGATTGGAGGCAGGCGTTCATCCTCGTTGGACGCCATTTTGACTATCTTTCTCAACTGAGTGAACAGATCACCCTCACTGAGACGGCGGAAATTAATGACAACATCCAAGACAAAGAACTGTGGGGGAAACAGGTCAAACACATCACTTGTGGCAGCCAGCCCAAGGCTCCAGGCCTTCACGGAGACCTCACAGAGAAGCTCAGGCCCAAGGTTCCCGGGGTGTTTAATGGTTCAGAGTTATTTAGTTTTTGGAGAACATCCAAAGCTGCTCACTGTACTCGACTCTAAGTACTCTCTAGCACAGGCTAGATTAAACTTAGCTATGAGAGAGCTTTTGCCTTCCTTTCTTTTTTATTTTATTTTATTTTTTTTGGTTCCTAGAGTATGCAAAAATCATCATGTTTCCAGAGAGTCAAGTATAAACTGGTACAACCATTGTTAGAAGGCAGTGTTAATCAAAACTAAGAGAGGTTGCCTATGACTCAGCAGCAGCACTTGTATTTGCAGACTTTAGTCCAGGGCTTAGAGAAGCAGAGCCATGTGCATGGAAAAAAATATTTTTTAAAACGTGTGCAGATTAGACCTTTTGATTCAGCAAAACAGCAGAAAGAACCTGACCAGTTTTTGGAGTATACTGGATTAAGTAAAATGGGGTACACCTATCCAGTGCCCAGTGAACTAGATCAAACAGCTATAGGTAGAGCTGTGCCTATAGATCTAAACAATAACAACAGCAGCAACAACAACAACAAACCAACAGTTGTAAACAAATATCAAAATGAAAAACAACAACACACAAAACACTGGGTATATCTATGCACATGTGTCTATGTATGCATGGGCTTGGTATGTATGCCTTACCGTTCTACAGCTTTGAAAGCCAGATCCTTGGAGTTGGAAAAGGGTCTCTTTCTCTACACAGCCTGTCACATCCTTTTCGGTATACAGACATAAGTAATTGACCCACTTGTCACCCTCATTGAAGTCCATGAAGCCTGATCTATGGTTGTTTCCAGAAGATTTGGATAATGTGCCGTATGGAGGATGAGAAACATTTGGTTTGACTTTCTTTGAATGAAGATGAAGAAAGGTTTTCATTTTGTGGCTGGCTGGTGTTAGATAGGCTGGGAAGCCTCCTGCTAGCTTTTAAGCCCTCAAATAGTGGTCATAGTCACCCTCAGAGGACAGGCTATCCCCAAGCTCTCAGTTTACTGAAATGAGCTCAGGAAGAAAACATTAGACAATAAGAAGGGTGTAGGGTAGGAAGCAGGAATGGATGTCAAACTTAAGCTTTCAAGATAGTAAGGCCCTTCCCTAACCCCCACTCTGCTTTGTGAAATATTTTGTGTAGCATCAGTATACAGGATACGTAGTGTGGTAGGCACCAGATGGGGTCAGTAGCCTTTATGCTCAGCTTGTTCCCCTGCCACAGGGACCTGTATTGGCCCTGCAGAACCATGTCTGATAACCTGACTGGACTTAGGCAGTTGGTAGGACCTGGAATCCTTCTTCCTCTTACACATACCATTAGCTTCGATAAGTCTCACCTTCTAACCTGTCAAATGAAGACTCTAAGGGCCGCTTCTACAGGGTCATTGTGTGCAATTATGTGAAATTAGGAAATATAAGTTTTGGACCCACAGTCTTACACAGGGGAGGTCTTGTCTGTTAGTCCTTACTCTGTCAATCCACCTGATTTCCAAGAAGGACATAGACTATATGAAAATGAATAGCTATGAAGATGAAGAAAGAGTTCAAGGCCACATTGGACCTCATTTATGACCCTAAGTCCTTGCCTTCTTAAGGATACAAACCCAGGGATTCATTCCCTAACTGATTTTTTTTTTCATTCTTATAACTTAGCTGCTGAAGAGAAATGGATGGAGTGAGTAGGAAATCCTATCTGGGAGACTTCATACTCCAAGCTCACTGTATGATTTGGGGAACCAGCCTGCACACTTGTGAAGAAGCAAGAATGGATAGCCACACCTAGCCATTATATGCTCCACATCCTCTCCAAGTCTGAGAGCCCGTGGCCATGGGCCACTCACCTGGTTGCAGCAGGCCACGATGACATGCTCAGGCTCAGGCATGACACTGCTCTTCTGGGCCACCAGTGTGTCCTGGGTATGGCCAGGAAGCCGGTAAGAGGAGAAGAGTCTGTAGTACTGCTTCATACAGAGGGGCTGCCCTGAGAGCTGCCCCTTGGCCCAGTCAGTGGGAAGGGAGTGGCTGGAAGGGTAGAGGGAGAGAGGACAGAGGAAGAGAGAAGGCATTGGAATGGGCTCCATGGTAACCTTATTTTTGTCCTCCTTTTCAGAGGTTTTTACATCAAACTCAGGGCCATATGCATGATAAGCAAATACTCTACCACTGGGTTTCTACCCTGTAGCTTCTTGTGGTTAGGCTAGTGGTGCACCAAACTTACAATGGCACTACAGCAGGGCTGTTCTTCATTTTGTGAAGTAATGGATTGTTCCATTTCTGTGGCTCATGGGGCACCTCAGAATTTCCACAACTCCACTCTCACCCCACTCTCTGGTAATACACATGTAATTTTTGCCATTTAGCCCTTTGCTTACACCAATCTTTCTTGGTACTCCTTTTTCTCTACCCCTGTGCCCCACTCTTTTAAAGAAAATTTCTTCTTCAAGTGTCCATTCTTTATTATCTCTCCTCGAAACCTCCAAGTAGTACTTTCTTTTGTCATGTGGTTTCTGAATGATATGTTTCTCATTCTACCCATCCATCTATCCATCTGTCTGTCCATCCATCCATCCATCCATCCACCCACCATGCATGTTCAGTCATCCATCTACCCATTATAGCCACCGAAACTATCAATTCATACATTGTCCATCTTTCTCTCTATGCATCCTTCTGTCTATCATCAATTTATTACCATCATGGATCCTTCCATTCATCCATCCATCCACCCACCCATCCATCCATCTATCCACCTACCCACCATCCACCCACCCACTACCCATCCATCCACTCACTCACCATCCACCCACCCACTATACATTCATCCACTATCCATCCACTATTCATTCATTCATTCATTCATTCATTCATTCATTCATTCATTCATCTATCCATCATCCCTCATGCACTTATCCATCTACCATTCAACTTCCCATACATCTACCATGCACCTACCTATCCATACATACATCCACCACCCACCAACAACAATCATGCATGTAAACATACATCCATCTACCTATCATTTTTCTATCATGCATCTATCCATACACTACCTATTCATCCATCCACATACTATCAATGTATCCATTGGAGACTGAACAACTCTTTCACAGGAGTTGCCTAAGACCACCTAAAACACAGATACTTACATTACAGTTCATAACAGTAGCAAAATGACGGCTAGGAAATATCAACAAAAGTAATTTTATGGTTGGGGAGGTCACCACAACACGAGGGTCACAGCATTAGGAAGATTAAGAATCACTGCATAGACCCATCTATACATCTATCAATCACTATCCATCCATCTATCCAGCCATCCACAGGGTGTATACTATCCATCTACTATATAGCCATCCATCTATAGTCTACCCATCCATCCACTAACTCACCATATACCTGTCTATTGTGGTTGAATGAGAAATGCTCCACCATAGGCTCAGTATTTGAACCTTTGACCTCCAATTAATGACATTGTTTGGAGGAGGTATAGGATCTTTAGGAGGTGTAGACTTGATGGAAGAATACATCACTGGGGGTGGGCTTTAAGAATTTATAGCTTTACTCTACTTCTTGGGCTCTCCCTGTACTCTTCTCTCTCTCTCTCTCTCTCTCTCTCTCTCTCTCTCTCTCTCTCTGCCTCTCTCACTCCCTCTCTCTGCTTTATATGTGCTGTTCAAATGTGTTCAGTCATCTTCCTTCCTTCTTTTCTTTCTTTTCCTCTTTCTTTCTTTCTTTCTTTCTTTCTTTCTTTCTTTCTTTCTTTCTTATCTCGCTGGTTGTCTCTATACCTTCCTTGCCGTTATGCCATCCCCTTGCCCTGCCCTGAAACCATAGGTGAAAATGAACTCCTCCTTCTAAAGTTGCTTTTGGTCATGTCACTTGATCATAGCAGCAGAAAAGTAACTAATGCACTCCTCATTCACCCACTCCCCCTCCATGCATCGTCCATCCACCCACTCACTATAATCCATTCATCTACCACACGTAAAACCATCCACCTCCATGCATTCATCTTTAGCTCACCCATCAATTCAATCATCCATCCACCATGCATATGTGCACACATGCAATTATCCATCTGCCATATACGCATCATCAAGTACTAACCCATCGCTATTCATCCAACCACTGTGCATCTAATCGTCTACCATATATTCATCTCCCCACCACCCATTTAGCTATTGACCTCGTCTCCATCCACTGATCCGTTTATTCTTTGGCCCTTTCAGCTTCTAAAGTTTACTGAGCACTTCTAGCCAGGCACTATTCTGAGGTCTGGGGAATAAAATGGTAATTAGACATGACCCACTCTGATTGTGTATGTGTCCTGGGATGTATGGCTGGAGAACATATTTGCAAATTGGCAAACAGGAGAATTTCAGGCAAGTTGAGTGACAAGCAGGAGCAGAGTCCAGGACTAACGGAAGTCTCATTAAGGCTTGTTTGACTAAACTGAGCCTAAAGGGCAAGAAGCTTCCAGGCAGATGGGCTAGGTGGAGTGCCCCACAGCCACTCAAAGTGAGGATGTTGCAGGAAACTTCATGACTGACCTGTGTCAGAATCCAAAAGCATCTGTAGCAATGGAAGTTTATACCAACTGAATTAAAAACAACAACAACAACACATGGTCTTGTGTTTTACACTTGTAAACTTTTTCTAGTAATTATTTTTTTAGTTGTATTTTACACTATTTGAAAGTAAAGACTCTTCTCAAGAGACAGCGTGAGGCTTACCAGTGGACCAATGGAAGGCAGAAAGTAAGCAGAAGATTGCAACTGAAGAATGAGGAAAAGGCTACCAAGATGGACAAGGATAGGCCCCGGGGCAGTGGTGGCAGGGTAGGTGTTGGCAGCTTATGCATGGTGCATTAAAAGCCCTTGGCAACTTTGAGATGCAGAAGTATGGTTTGGATTATGTTTTCCTTTTTTTCCCCTTAGTGCTAAGGGTTGAACCCAGGGTCTTGTCCATTCTAAGCATATACACCATCACAGAAACACAACACTCCCAGTTCTGGTGTGTGTGTGTGTGTGTGTGTGTGTTGGAGGGTTTGTTTTGTATTTGATTTTTCAGTACTGAGAACTAAACCCAGACCATGCAAAGCACTTTATCACTGAGCTATATTTCCAGAGTATCTGGCTTTGGTTTTACTTTTTTTAATAGCTCTGTTTCTATAAGGAGAGGACCAAAGTCTACCCCAGGAAGCACCAGAAAGAAGACTGTAGTGACAGAGGGAAAATAATGTGGACCAGGTAGGAAGGATGCTTGGGACCTGGCTGGGGTAGGTGGTGACCTCATCTGAACACCATGGATGTCATGGAGGGAGAAAAAGTGACCACAAGAGACTCCTGGACCTACAGATCAGGGTGTGCCATTGTGTGTACTGAGAAGACAGGAGGGGTAAGCATGAATGCACATGGGAGAAGCATGCGAAGCTTTACCAGGCCCCTTTGTAATGATCAGGAGATGCCCCAGTGGGGATGCCCAGGATCTAGGGAAGGAATGGGGTTCTATTTTATGTCAATTGAGAACCTTCTGAGAGCAGGTAAGGGCCAAACTTCTTATCTTCTGGACATCAATACACTGAAAGTAAAGAGCTAATTAATGGAGTGTCCTACCCAGACACTCTTCCAAATGTTCCAGTCTTACAATATTTGCAAGTACAGGACACACGAACCTTTATTTGGGCTTCTGTGGAAACAGGTGTCTGTGTGCATGCATGTAATATGTTCACACATATACATGTATCTGCACACTCAAGCGAGAGTTGGGGGTAGGGGAAAACCTGCCAGTAAGGGATGGTTCCATAGCCCCTGGGTTCTGCTGCCAGGGTTGGAATCTTTGCTCTTCTCAGCAGCCAGGGTGCTGAAAAAGACAGGCTCTCTGAAGACAGAGATGCTGTGTGAATGGAGGAGTGGGTTCTACAAGGAGTTCAGGCTCAGTCTGAGGACGAAGGAAAGCTCTGGACACATGGCTGGAAGGGGCAGCCCACAGGCCTGGCAGTCCAGTATGGAACAAGGGCTATCAGACTGGCCCCAAGTCAGTGCTCTGTCTAAAACCCAGTTCAGATTCTGGTGTGCTGAGCCTAGGGCCTGCGCTTCACCTCGACTCTCTGACTCTCTTACCCAGAGAGAGTGTGTGTCTTAGCTTCTGTCCCAAGGTTGGGTAAACACTGACTGGGAGCAACAAAGACCAGAGAGTGAATACTGCTCCCCCCCCCAACCTCATTGTCATTCCAGTTCTTGGCTGTTTGGCCATCAGTTAAGTTTCAAACCGTCTCTGAGCTTCACTTGCATATCTATGCATAGAACACTTCTTTCAGGCCCCCTCCTTCATTCCAGCATCCATAGCTCTTTGCTCTCCCCGTGCTCCCAGTAATCCAGGATTGGCTAGGAGGGAGACAACTCTGCTAGCATTAAGGAGAACTCACTGCCTGCATAGCTACCACCACCTACAGGAGCTAGGGTGGGCTCGTAGACACTAAGGCTCAAAGTAAGGAGCCCATCATCCCGACGGTACCACTTAGCTTACCAGCACCTCCTCTAATGCTGCTTCTTTCTCCACACTTCCTGGGATCTCCAGACCCAGCATCTAGTTCACACCATAGGTGGAAAGAAGAGATCAGGAGGGAGGGCCATTTTCAGAGGTCAGAGAAAGCCTGTGCTTACTTTAGCAGCCAGGAGAACTGAGCTAATGCAATGTCCTGGTGCTGGCATTGGGCAGGAGACACCACATAGCTGGATAAAAGACTAGGTCCCTGCCCTCTGGAGCACCCTGTATGTTCCAGAGACAGATGTGAGAGGAGACAGTCAAGCAGAGCCCTACCCACTGTGGGCTGGGCCCTGGCCTACCTGTCCAGCAGCGTCTTGTAGCTAAGCACACCAGAGATGAGGCTGGCCGCAAATCTGCAGGGATGTGGAAAGAGGAGCATTATAAACCAGCCCCATGACCCCCACTCTCCCACCTCTCCTTTTTCCTTCCTAACTTCCTCCTCCCTTTCCTTCTCCTTCCATGCCTTCCATGCCCCTCTCTCTGCTCCAAGCTCACCCATGTATCACCTGCCATATGCCAGGCCCTGTGTACTAATGGGGTGTGGGTTAAAAAGCCCATCCCCCAGTACTGTCAGCCAACCGAGGCCTTGGATTAAAAATGGTCCTTTGGTAAGAACTGGGGATGGTTTAGCTCTGGGGGTGGGGTGGGGAAAGGAAGCTAGAATCACCTTGAGGAAAAAGAGGTAGAGAAGGGAAGGTGAGGGGTGAGGTTTCCCCTAGGCAAGGCCAGTTCCGTGGCAGGATCTTTTGGGAAATGCAGTCTCCTGGGGGCAAGCCACTGACTTAGTGGCTAATGAAAAGGAAAGTTAGTCCTGGGAGGAAAGCCTCAGGGACTGGTGCGACATAGACAGTGCCATCTTAACTGTCTATGGATGACAAGGCCTGGCTTAATTGCATAGGAGGAAAATGCCCCTCAGATGCAATTTGGAGAACTGTCTTCAGAATCCATCCATCCTCATTGTTCCCTTCAGAGGAGAGGGGGGCAAGTGGGAGCTAGGCCTGGGCTGTGCCTATGTTCACCCCACTGAGACATTGAGAGGATAAAATCCTGACAGATTCCAACAGGGAGAGCCTTCTTCCCGGCCCCTACCCACACCACCACCACTCTCAAAGCACCTAGAGGCCCCTCCAGCGGCTCACTGAACTCTGAAATTGCAGCAGATGGTAGCTGCACCGGCAGGGAGGGATGTCCCTCCCCAGGAGTCTGAGGCAGGACTCCAGGGGGCATGGAGGAACTCTCAGACACCTGGAGCAGCAGCGTGTCCCAATCAGGACTACTTTTAAGTGACAGCTCATAGACCCAGGTCAGAAGTGCTGTGTGGGTCCCTGAGGCCCATGGCCCCCATTAGCACCATCTAATAAATGTGTTTATTACAGAGTGATAGCATGCCCCACCTCCCCCTGGCCTGATGTCTGGCACTGGGAGAAGATGGACTGTGTTACTTGGCCCCAGGAAGCTCAGCCAGTGCACAAGTTCTGGCCTCGCCTTCCTGGTGTGAGGGCAGACCCCACATCTCGGATGATTTCCCTGCTGAGCACCTAGAGGGCTTCATGGCCTCACCTTAGCTGGTCATTGGTGTCTTGGAAGTGCTGCCGAGCAAAGATCACAGCAGGGCTAGAGTTGACTGGCAGGGCCAGGCGGTTGTTTAGATACATGTCATTCAGCCAGTATTCAGAGACCTGCCAGGGAGCACAGGGAGGGGTGCCATTACATCTGATCCCCAACACCCCTCCAAAACAGGCACTGTGTTAGCAGAGGTCATCAGTCCTGTACTGTCTACTCTGAATCAGGCTCTGCTTGGTCGATAACCCATCCATCCATCCACCCACCCATCCACCCACCCACCCATCCTTCCATCCACCCATCCACCCACCCACCCATCTATCCATCCATCCATCTACCCACCCACCCATCTATCCATCCATCTGTCCACATGTCCATCCATCCATCCATCCATCCATCCATCCATCCATCCATCCATCCATCCATCCTCCTATTCCACAAATGCACTCAGCCCCAGCTGTGTGCTGAGCCTGCGTCTTCTTGGTCCTCCAAGACTGCTCTTCACTATCACCCCATTGCATCCTCTTTACCCCTTCCTCTTTTCCCGTCTTCAGTGATGCATCCCTGCCCACTACCTGTCCTTGTTCCTTAGTCCTATCTGTCATTCAGCTTTGACTTCTAAGCTCATCTCTACCCCATCTTTCCCTGTCCCTGTCCCTAGCTGTGTCCCATCTCTCCCAGTCTCTCATCTCTCATCACCTTTCACATTCTCTGTCCTCCTATTTCCCCAGTCCTCTTTCATCTTGCCTGCCTCCCCCGCTTACAGTCACCCAACCTGTGCTACCCGTGTGTTCCTGTCTACCACCCATCTCTGTCTCCTCCCAAGCCCATTACCTCTTGTCCTCACCCATATCCTTTCTTCCTCCTTCCCCGTCCAGAGGTCTCTTGTCAGCTCTGTCCAGGAATCCTTACCCAATTGGCTGTCTTCTCCTGTCTCTCCAAGAGTTTTTCCTGCAGGGTCTCACCCAGGCCACCAGGGGTCCCAAACCGCTTCACAATGGCCTGGCTCTTCCTGAACTGCTCTACAGGTACCAGGTGCTGCATGCACTGCAGGTAGGTGGCCAGGGTTTGCTGCAGCGGGGGCACTGGCAACTTAGGTAACTCCTGGAAAAGAGGGTTCATGGACTCTTGCTCACTTCCTTTGATATGGTTCATACCTGCCCCTGAGTTGATGGCAGAACATGTCTCCTTTTGCTCTGTCCTCATTCCCTGTTCTTGGCCCTGTTTCCTGGAAGTAGCTCAACAGAATTATAAATGAAGGGCCCTCCCATTTGCTGTCCCTGCCACCATACTGTCTCTAGGTCTCAGGAAGGCACAAAATGCAGATGCTAGGCCTGGGCTCACACCCTGACTCTGCTCTTGGCACCAAACAGACGCGGGTTCACACCCTGACCTTGCTACAGATCAGTTGTATGTCCTTGGGAAAGTCTCTCCTTCTGTAAGGGCTCAGTTCTTCTGTGAAAAATGATCCTCTCACAGGATGGAAGGGATGACAGATGTGAATGTGCTAACAGTCCATAAAGGATGGGTCTGGGATGAAAGATCATTGGCGGTACTGCTGACTGCTGGTCACCCTCCACATAGGAGTTCTTCCCAGCTGGGGCTCAAGAGCCTGCATGCTTTTCAGACTAGAAAGTGCTGCTCTTACAGACAGAGTCAGGTGGATTAACATGGCCTTGGGTGGGGACATGACCGACCAGCTTCCTGGAAAGACTTCCTGGGGCAGTGGCTATTTCTGCCCCGTGCCTCTTGTTTCAAATGCTTCCAGGTATGAAACTCAGGCAAAGGATTGGTTCCATGATAGGACTAGAGTCAGGTAAGGCACAGTGCAAGTCTTTCCTGCCCAGATCTCTCCAAGCTTCAGTCTTGTTCATCCATAGGACACAACTCTTCCTACCTGATGGACCCCAAGAAAATAAGAGAAAAATAATTGCTTCTAGCAAACGAATTTTATGTTTGGTTAACTGGTCTTATCCCTCCAAAGGGAATCCCAAGAAGAAGCCTGTGGCCTCTGGGCTCTAAGAGAGGTGACAGTCAGAAAGGAAGCCCCACAGGGTCCCCTGACACGGGCACTGCCTGTTCCAGCTGATCAACCATTGGGGGCTTTATATGTTTGTCTTCAATGTATCACATAGCCAGGGCAGGGATTTTTGTCATTACAGATGGGGAAACTGAGACCCACAGTGTAGAGAAACTAATCCCAGGTCACATAGTAATTTTTACTTAATGTATTTCCTCTACTCCCCTTCTCTGTTCCCTTTCCCTCCCCATCTATCCCCTCCCCTCTCCCCTCTTCCCCTCTCCTGTCCTATTCTAGGCAAATTGCTGCTGAGCCACACCCCCAGTTCACTTCCCCTCCTTTTTCTGTGGTTTTCCTCCCATGTCCCTCACAGCCTTTCTGCTCTTCCCTCCTATTTCCCTCTCTCAGCCCTTGATAATAGCGAAGTGAGATTTTTTCATGCCGTTGTTAAATTGTACACAGTTGGCATAGGGCAGGGTACTCTTCTCCAGGGGCTTCTTCTCTGTAAAGTGGTGAATTGTTTCTCTCAGGTAGCCAAGGGCTCACCCTACCCTGGTGGGCTGCCAAAAGCACCTGTCTTCTCCTGAGGCTCAGAACTGATAGATGAGTAAGTCCTTTGCCTGTCTGGTCCTGTCCCTGGAGCTCACTTACTTTGACTAGAGGTGGATTGTCAGCAACAAACTCTGGTGCTGCTGCCCTGGGAAGCAATGCAAATACACAGATGGGTCTGGACAGTGTTTTGTGTTGTTTAACCCACTCCAAGAAAACCAGGCTGACCCCTCTCAGCCACTCAGGCTCCTCCTCTTCTATTTATGGGGGTCAGTGTGGCTGGAACAGGCAAGTATCTCTAGAAGGCATAGCCCAGGTGGTGGTCTGGCCAAGAGTGGTGACAGGCTTGGCTAAAGTGCCTGAGCTTTCACTTGTCCTGTGGTACACCCTGGGTGGTGGGTAAACCTGGCAAATCTCGGTTTAGGCATCTCAGTTCCAGGCATGGTTCCTACTCTGACTCTCATGGACCTACGACTTGGGATTCTGTAGTCTGTACAAATTTCTAGGTGGTTCAAATGAGCCAGGCCATGAACTGGATTTAGAGACAGTGGAGAGAAAGAGTCTGCCCTCCAGGAAATCACATCCCACAACACGGGAGGAGAGGGACATGCCATAGATACCATGGGCAGGAGAGGCATGGGTCAGCTATAGAGGTTGGGGCAATGTTAAAAGCAAGTTCAAGGGCAGAAGACAGGAAGTTCTCATAGGACCAGGGAGGGGTGAGAAAGGTGTGGTAGAGGGGCCAGCACATGCAGGAACTTGAACTGAGATGCGCTGCTCCATCTGGAAGGCTAGATGGAGCAGGAGGGAGGCTGCCCAGGGAGGGTAGTGTTGTTTCAAACCAGTGGAAAAGATGATGTTTGGATGTTCCTGGGCTGAACCAGTGGCAGCCGCTGGAGCTGCTGGGATGTGCCAGGGCTCGGAAAGGGGGTTCAGCCTTGCCTAGGCAAGCACGTTGGGCTTAAAGCCATCTGAAGTGCAACTTGGGGTACAGTGAGGTTGGGGGAGGTGAGAGAGATAGGGCTTGACTGGTGCCAGGGGTGTGTTTCCCTGCATTGCCCAGCAACCCAAGGCTGTAGCTGGCAGTCAGAAACTACTTTTGCCCTCAAAGCATTGATACCTGCCTCACTTGGCCCACAGGGTAATCAAGAGAGGATGAGAACCTGGCACCTCTGCCTTCATTTTGTGTGTGCTCCCTTTACTTTGGGTGAGACTCCTGACGGACTCTGCATGTAGGCATAATAAGCACTCAAGGAGCATCTGCCTTTAAAAACAAACCAAACCAAACCAAATCAACAGCAGAGATAACAACAGCAATACTTATCCTAGTACCCCAGCTACATGGCTGAAAGTACAAAGAAGGACTTAACTGAGCTGGGTGGTAGTGGCTCTTGCCTTTAATCTCAGCACTCTGGGAGGCAGAGGCAGGTGGTTCTCTGTGAGTTTGAGGCCAGCCAGATCTACAGATCAAGATCCAGGATGGCCAGGAATACACAGAGAAATCCTGTCTCAAAAACAAAACAAAACAAAACAAAACAAAAACAAACAAACAAACAAAAACCAAGAGGAACGTAACCACAGATTCTCCAGTGCTCAGTTCCAGACCCTCTGAATGTGCCTAAACCTTTCCAGACCTTATTCTAAACATCAATTATCTTGCACCCCCAAAACAGTGCAGTCAGAAGCCTTACCGAACAGACAATCCTTCAAAGCAGAGCAATTATCCATAATAAGGAAGCTTCTCTTTGGACCAGGAAAACACTGGCAACCAAACTGCTTCCCCCAAATGGTCACAGTAACAACTTCCGACCACTTTACAGAATAGCTGAGATAGCTATCATCCGGACCACATAATAAGTCTCAATATGACTGCTTAATTGCACATATATCTGAGATGATATATATATATATATATATATATATATATATATATATATATCTCTAAAAAACTAGAATATATATTGATTGTTACTCTAAAACTTCCAGTTTATGGCCATGCCTTGAGGATAGATTTAGAATCACTGAATCTCTTTACCTGATCGTTTTTCCAATGTGTCAATTGATTAAGCCTCTTTTCTCTGCCTTTTAAACATATTGTCTCTTTAATTGATATATGGAGGACAAGCAGCTGAGTCTAGCCCATTGGGCTTACTGGAACCAGAGCTGGGGTTTTTGCCCTAAGACTCCAGTAGGAAGGCTTCGAGACCCAATCAGACAGTCTTCTGCCCAGGAGAATACAGAGCTGGGAAACAATTGAGGGCTAGTGCCACTCAAGAACGTCCTGGGAATAAGAGTGTGTGAGAAGAGATCGGGGATAAGACACACGGCTCAAAAGGTTACTCACCAGCTCCTCCTCAGAGCTGGAAGCTTTCACAGGCATCTTTTGGGGGACCTTTTCCAGGATGGGCATTGTAGCGATTCTTGCTCCAGAGTAGCTGAGCTGTAGACCTGGGAACACAGGAGAAGCATCACATCGAGCCTTAATGAATCCTGTAGCCTTACCCCCACACCACAAGCCACTGACTGACAGTAGTGTGTAGGGAACTCCATGCCTCTGTGACTGCCATCTCAGACCTCAGCCCTATGCCCCTGACCACAGTGAACCTCAGAATCTCGAGGTGAGAAAGAGTCCTGCCTTGAGCCACCAGCAAGGACCTGCTTCTGTGAAGCTGCTATGACTCAAGGCTAGCTGACCATCCCAGGTTGCACTGGGAGGAGCTGGGCTGGAGTTACCCACTCCCAGCTTACCAGGACCAGAGCACTAGAGCACTTAGTTTGCCTGGAACTCAACATCAATTTCTCCCCAACATCAACTTTCCCCACAAGACTGTAGCTCTCAAGTGCAAAACCATTTCCACTGGGTTCAGATTTCCCTCTAGGATGCCTGGCTAGGGTCTGGTACTGAGTAGAGGGGCTGTGAGCTCAGAAAGCTCCCCCACCCCGCGTGTGTGTGTGTGAGTATGCATGAGAGTGTGCTTGAGTGCCCACAAGTATTCTAAGACTCTGTATTCTGGGTGACATTCTGAGCTGTTTGAGGACCCTGGGTCTTTTAGCAGAGTGTTAACTTGAGTAGTTTGTGGGCAGCAGGCTCCAAGGTGGGTACAAGGGGACTATGGAAGGGCATGATACCTACTGGAGAGTAGGTAGTCAGGGCCTCTAGAGTCTCCTGACAGCCTTGAGAAAGACAGATTAATTTGGAAGATGCACTAGAAATAAGCTAAGCTAAGAACACAGCCTGGTTTTTTTTTGTTTTTTGTTTTTTGTTTGTTTTTTGTTTATTTGTTTTTTTTTTAGAACTGTAGGGTACGCTTTCTACCCCACTAAACCAAAACCTGCACAGATACACAGTCAAGATTTCTACCAACCTACCCTTTATTAGCCCTCAAGAGGTTAAAGCTGCCATTTAACCTATTTGGCCACCACCAGCAGCAGCCAGGTGCTGACATAAGGCTCAGTTGGTCCAGGGGAGAGGCAATCCAGAAAGGTGGAAGAACCAGACCCAAGGCTAGAAGAGTTTGCGTATGCCTGGTGCCACTGAATAGAGGACGGAAAGGCCTTATACAGTGCACTCCAGCACAAGAGTCCTTGAGACCACTGTACCTAGAAATCGAGTATGTGGGTGTTCTGTTGATTACATTTTGGGGTCAACCAAGACAAGGTCAAGTTAATAAAGGCTGTACCAGTTATATATCTAATATCTCCTTTTGTGCCATCTCAGTGGTGGGCAAGGGAAAACACTGGCCGGACCTTAGCAAAGTCATATCTTGGAGAGGAGAATGGACCCCTGCCAGCTGACATTCTGATGGGTATTCCACTGTTCCTTCCAACCTCCAGCTCCTTCCTTCTAAGCTCCTTGGCCCAGGCTGAGAGAATTTGTATGTATTTGTCTTTCCGTGGTTTGGTATCCTCCCATTTCTGCTTCTATTGGCCTGGCTTGGGGGGGGGGGGGCACTTGAGAGGTTCTCTGCTCTGCCCTGAAGGTCCAACACCAGTCTGATCTGGTTTCCCAGGCTCTCAGTGCTGCCACTCCTGCAAATGTGGCACTTAACTCCAGCACTCCCCGCCTTCCCAAGAATGTCTGGAGAAAACTGAGGCCCAGGGATATTACCAACGCTCCCGGTATTACACATCAAAACCACAGACCTTGGGCTTGGCAGATGTTAGGCGAAGTAAAAGTAAAGGCAGGTAAAGATAAGGGGAGCCCCAACCCCTGAAAATCATGCCCTCCCAGCCCAGGCATCCTTGCAGCCGAATCCCAAACCCCCAGTCTCCTAGATGTACCCCGACGACTACTGGCGCCTGGGATGCTGCAGACTCTGAGCGTCTCAGAGCCTCTGGGCCTGGGAGCTGTCCCTTCGTGGACAGCTCCTCCGGAGAAGGACACCTCCCCCGAGGGACAACGCCTGGGTCTTCGCGCCAGCGCGCCGCTGCCCAGCCCTTCTCACCTGCTCTCCTGGGCTGCTCCGCGCCGAACCGGCGCTGTTCCACACCAAGCAGAGCTGGAGACGGCTGCGTGGGCCAGAAGGGGTGGCAGCAGTGCCAGAGGTTGGGGAACGCCACCTAGGTTCTGTAGTAGAGCCTCCGACGACAGATCCCAGCAGCCAGATCCCAGCAGCCACCCCGACTGACTGCAAGCAAACCAGCCACACCTCTCTCTATTCCCTCCCCCTCTCCTCCCTCCCCACTTCTCTTTTTTCCCTCCCCCTTTCCCTTCCTGCCTCTCTTCCTCACAGTCCACTGCTCCCCCTACCCCGCGCTCTGCCCTGCGATTCCTATCTTCAGCCCTCAAAACCTGTCCAGGGCAGATTCCCGGATGAGTTCCTGCACTGGCATCAGATTTAGGCCCTGGAAAGGGGCACAGAACATTGCCTGCCCACCGCCCCACCCCAGCCTCCCTTCGTCCTGCCCCCATCCTCCCCCATCAGCAGTCTCCTGGGAAGCTACTTATGCAGAACCCTGGGGAGTGCTTGAGTCAGAAGAAATGTTGCCCCTCCTCACAAGGCTGAAACCTTACTGCATTCCTTTAAAAATACTAAAATTTAAGGAGTTGGTTGGCCACAGTGGGACCTCCCTTCTTTTCTTTTACCATCCTATTGCTGCAGACTCTTTGGGAAGGGAGGAGCAGACAAGGGACTACAGACTTGGTCTACTCTGATGGCAGGTGGAGGTTGTTTAGAGCCTCAACCAGAAGCCCACAGGCACTCCTCCCAGACAAAATACTCCCCCGCCTCACACAAGCAGAGTCAGACAAGGACAGACAGACAGAGTACTCTCCCTACCACCACACCTCTCATACAAGAAGACTCAAACAAGGACACACACACAGACACACACACACAGACACACACACACAGACACACACACACACACGGTGGGGGGGGGAGGAGAGAGAGAGAGAGAGAGAGAGAGAGAGAGAGAGAGAGAGAGAGAGAGACTCACCAACTGCAGACCTTCCCCTGCAAAACTAGTTACTCTAACCCAACTGCCTCTCCACCCTGAAATCAGAGGCAGCAGGATTCAGGAATGAGTGTACTGCCTTTAGCCTGGACCTCTGTCATAAGAAATCAAGAATGGGTGACCTCCTGACATCCCTGAGGGGCCACTTGTATTCAGGACAGGGTGGACTAGGGATTAGCACCAGTTTCCACATCAATCTTCCTTCCATTTTCCATTAAAACTTTCATGACTGAGAGAAAGCAGACCCACAGGTAACTGTTCTCTCATTCCTCAGACAATAGAGCCTGCATCCTTGATGAACACTGTCACCAGGCTGGGACCCTAAAAAAATGAGGACTACCTCTTCTTTTCTGCAGAAAACAGCGCCCTCGTGCTCCTTTCTCGACAAGATGAGGCAAGGTCCCATTGTGTAGGAAAACCCAGTCCAGGCATGGAAAGCCCCTGGTGCCAGCTGTCCTCCAAGGCCAGGCAGATCCTCAGGCTCCCTCGGGTGGAACCTCCAGGTGCTACACTGGGCTTGGAAAGGAGAGACTATCACTATTGTTCGTGTGTGTGTGTGTGTGTGTGTGTGTGTGTGTGTGTTTTCTGAGTATCCATGAGGGAGAGCCCTCTTTTGGGATTTGGGTTTGTTTCCTTAACCAGGCAGTAAGGAGCTTCAGGGCATCCACCCCTCCTCAGATCTGGATTGGATAAGCAGCCTTCTCTGTGCTTAGGTTTTGTGTCACACCGCCCATCCCACATCAGTAAAGAGACTCGGCCTCCTCAGACAGATATGGTTTATTAATTCAGGCCGGAGGCACCGGGGTGCAGTAGACCAAGTTTGGCACTGGAAAGATCCGCAGGAAGGACAGACAGATGCATGACTCTATTTAGGGGTTCTCAGTAGGTGATTGGTGATCACCCGCACACCTCTTCAACTCTGCCAAGAGCCCAATAGCTTCTTATGCCTCCCTACTCCATTCTCTCAAAGAAAGTGTGTTTGGGAAGGGGGTTAGACTAGGAGGGGTCACGGAGAAGGGTTTCCTGCAAAGGAATTCAGGACGGGGAGGGGCTAGGGTACTCATTAGAGGAGGTTGCCCCCAAGCCAAAGTTGGCCAGTGCTCTTGCAGAATGACCACCTTGACCTAAACGGGGAGGGTAGAGAAAAGCGGGTCTGCTAGCTGTGGGAGTAGTAGTTGTAGTCGTCCTCGCACCCATCAAAAGGGCCGGGCGGGCTACAGGGTTCACCGCCGTCCTTGCCCTGTACCTCACGCAGGCGCACCGCGTCGTACAGACCCTGCGGCGGTTCATCAAGCAGCACATCGCGCTCGGAACGCGAGCGTGTAAGGAGGCCCACGTTACGCAAGAGCAGTAGCACTGGTGCGTAGAGCAAGTTGGCCAGACCCATGCCAAGGCTGAGCTGCTCAAAGCCAAGCGAGTGAACGATATGGCCTGCCACTATGGGCCCGAGCGCGTAGGCCACAGAATAGGAGATGTCAGCTATGGCGTAGACACTGCCATAGACTGATACGTGGCGCACGTCCACCAGAAAGGCGAGCGTGGGTAGGAGCGCCGTGTCCACTAATGCGATGCCGAAGCAGAGGCCGCAGAGCGAGACCACTAACGGCGTGAAAGAGCGGCAGGCAGGTACGATGCAAGAGCTCACTCCAATTACCGCTAGCCCGAGAGCGCCATACAGCCACTGCAGGTGTGGATAGCGCGCCGCTAGGCGCACGGTGAGATAGACGCCTAACACGTGTGGCACGAAAGCCGGCAGCCAAACCATGCCCATCTCCCACTCGGATGCCGCCATTGTGTGTTTCATCCACGTGGCTATGGTGGGCTCGAGGAACGCAAGGGGAATGTTACAAGTCGTGAGTGCGCCGGCTACCACAGCGATGTAAGGGTCTAGCATGAGACGATGGATAGGTGTGCCCACGGGCAGGTTAGCCCGCGCCCTAGCCGCAGCCGAGA